ATATATCTATATTTATAATGATACAATATAATGTGAAAACAAATACAAATAAGTCAGGAACCTGTAGTTCAGCGGTCGTCTTTTGTTCATGTCTGTCATATTTGTTTTTCGTAAATTGTTTTGTTATAAATTAGGCCATAAGTTTTCTCAATTGACTTGTTCCTATATTTCATGTCGGGGCCTCTTATAGCTGACTATACGATATGGGTTGTTCTCATTGTTGAAGGCCATATGGTTGCCTTTAATTGCTTACATCCACTTCATTTGAACTTGGGTTGTCTCATTTGCAATCATAACACATCTCCTAATTATAACACAATAGAAGTACTTTTTACACTTTGAGTTATTTTTGGTTTTAAAAATTGTGTTTATTTTCCATTGTCTGCGAAATTCTAAAAGTCCTGTGTTTAGTCGGACACAAAAGGTTTTTACAATGTTGTTTCTGTTTTGTTTACAATTGTATTTTTATTGGTTTTTTTTATATTTACTTTATTTTATCAAGAAAGTGTATACTATAAACTTTTTTTTGAAGACATCATTGTAAAATTAACATCACTCATAAGTATTTTGTATACAAAACGCACGTCTGGCTTACAAAATTTCAATTCTGGCATCTATGAAAAGTTTATTACTAACTACTACACCTTTTTAGTTGGCGTCTTTGTTAGATTAATGTGTATAGATATAAGAAGATGTGATATGAGTGTCAATGAGACAACTCTCCGTCCAAGTCACAATTTGTAAAAGTTTGAAGACATAATCTTTCAATCAGTTTAATTGAGGTCTGGAGCTGGCATGTCAGTAACTGCTAGTAGTCTGTTGTTATTATGTATTATTGTCATTTTCTTTATTTTCTTTTGTTCCTATTCTGACATCGGACTCGGACTTCTCTTAAACTGAGTTTTACTGTGCGTACTGTTGTACGTTTGTTTTTTTCTACATTGGCTAGAGGTATAGGGGGAGGGTTGAGATCTCAAAAAACATGTTTAACCCCGCCGCATTTTTGCGCCTGTCCCAAGTCAGGAGCCTCTGGCCTTTGTTAGTTTTGTATCATTTTTAATTTTTGTTTCTTGTGTATAATTTGGAGTTTAGTATGACGTCCATTATCACTGAACTAGTATACATATTTGTTTAGGGGCCAGCTGAAGGACGCCTCCGGGTGCGGGAGTTTCTCGCTGCATTGGAGACCCATTGGTGGACTTCGGCTGTTGTCTGCTCTATGGTCGGGTTGTTGTCTCTTTGACACATTCCCCATTTCCATTCTCAATTTTATTGTTTGAATTTTTAAGTCAGTTTTGTTGTATGTCTGTGATGCATATTAACAAAGTTTTTGCTGGTGGATCCAAATTATTTTCACATTAACCTTTTTTGTCTATTTGAGTTGCTAACCCAATTCCGTTAATTGATACCTTTTGATTTTGTCTGTTTTTATTGACTTCCGATTTTTGAATTTCCTTGGATTGTGGTATTTTTGTTATACTTTCTACACAGAAATGAACATTAAAGCTATTTCACTGTATAGAAAAAACAAGTTTTGATAGAAAGCTGTTTGTTGTATATAACAGTTTAACATAAAAACTTCAGAAGACACAGGACTTTTTAATCATTCTTTTTATTGTGAAAAAAATTAAAAATGAATTGACAATACACATTCTTTCAATTTTAATTAGCATGTTATTTAACAAATTTTCCAGTTGCTCCTTCTATAAAAGGTGGCAGTTCTTCAAGTATAGCTGTCCAGGAAGGACAAAATATCACACTGACATGTGAAGCTAATGGAAATCCTGCACCAAATATAACGCGGAAAAGGGGAGATGGATTCCCACTGCCTAATGGTGGAATCCAGCAAAGTGTAAGGCAAATTACAAAAAAAAAATGTTTGCTTCTCATGCCAGCTGCACTGACCACTTTTGACTAGGTTGGTCACAGTAAACAAATTGGATTAGTATAAGGATGTCAAGCAGATGGGCGGGAAGTGGTACCAAAAATCCCTGAGGCCACACATGATGAAGTTGTGCACCTGCCGCTATAAAATTGTTTGAGGAATTTTGTTCATGTTTTCCTGAAAATGGATTAACTTAGTAATTCTGCAATTTAAAAAAAGATTATACTAGTTTTATGTAATCAACTCCTGCTACAGTTTTCAACCAAGATTCCTGAAACATCACAGAAAGATTGCACCCATATTGAAGTAGTGCACCAGCTCTTATTTAATCATTTGAGGATTTGTTTCCCCATTTGTCTGGACTTGTGAACATGGTAATGTTTCAGTGAAATTCACAAAAGACAGTAGCTATTAAGTATTATTGATATCAAAAGCCTTTGTTTAGCTTAACAAAAGATATTCAATGTTATTAAAAGATGTGAAAAACAAATAGATTACACAAATTTCATGTACATATACATGAATAAATTTGCTTTTTCTGCTAGGTCTTCATTGTCATGAACATTTATGGGAAGTAACTAGTCAAAACGGATTTCTAATTAAAGGATAAATTTTTGAATTCTGCAATAGACTACATTGTGCATTCACTGCATTGCCAGATCACTATTAGCTATATCTGTGTTTTTGTTTTTGTAAGGTATTATAATTAGGCGACAGGGGCAGCATAAACTATTTGTATAAAGCTTTATATTTTCGAAGCTAGAAGACCTAGATGCTCCATACCCTGTATGCAGGTACCTTCTATTGCGAAGTTACCGTCAGTCATATGTCCATTGTAATTGGCCTCATTTTCTTGGTTAAGTGACTGGTTGACCAAAAAAATACTGTTTTTTTTTAAAGTGAAATACTCGCTTACTATGAGTGATAGGATACCTATATTTGGTATATAGGTTCCTTGCAAGTTGTACATGTCCGTCAGGTAGGGATCACCTAACCTAGATATCATTTCATGGATCAGTGATCAAGATTAAAGTTATGTGGTCGTCTTTTTCTCAGATACTATAAGCAGTAGGCTTGGGTAAGGGTACTATATTTGGTGTATAAAATGGTTGCAACGGGTACATGTCTGATTGGCAGGTATTATCTAACCTTGACCTCAATTTTATGTTCCATTGGACAATTTTTAGTTTCTGTGGTTTGGTCTATTTCTCAGATATTTTAAGAAATAGGGCAACTATGTTTGATGTATTAAATGATTGTAGTGTGTACATATCCGACTGGCATGTTTTATCCAATATTCTCTATTCTTTATTTTTGACTCATTTCCACTTTTAAATAATTTGTTTGGCCATTATTCTCTTTTCTAAAAATCCCATCCAGGCCCTCATCACAGTCAAAGGAACATGTTCTTTAACTTTCATATTACATTCAAGTGGATACTGAATTTTAGAATCATTTAATAAAAACATAAATAAAATATCCCTGAAAATGGCATGTTATTTAGCCTTTACATAGATTTATCAATAACCATTGATTATTTTATGGCTTTTCAGTAAAACTTGTTTTCTTATGATTCCTTAAAAAATACAATGAAAAGCAATATAGTCTCATTTTTTTATGTTAACAAGTTGCAGAAATTTAAAAATTCAAAATGTTCAAACACTTTGTTAGTCCTAAAAAGTTCATGCAATCCCAAGAATTCTAAGCCTTTACACATATGGTGAAAAATCTCTTTGGAAGCTAAGAATTTATGCATCATCAATCATTGTCCTTTGGTCTATAGGTAAATATTTGTCTAATTGGCAATCATACATTTCATTATTTTCGAATACTTTCAAACAAAATGTCTCAGCTTAAAAGTCAGACTGAAAAAAGTATACCAATGTAGAAAAGTGTTTAGATTCACAAGTATGTATATTGACTTTTGGTTTGAATTGTATTTTCTACAGTCATCAAGTATATTTCAAGCATAATATGCCATTATATAGATGTTAATGGATGTATATATATATCTTCTTTACTTAGCAAATCCTACAGCAGAAGTTATATGGTACAAAGAAAACAAAGCAACACAAGAAAAAGAACCGATTCAGGACAATGACAAATACACATTAGAACAACAAGATGATCCGCAATTGAAGGTTGATGAGAAATTTTATACTCTTTCAATAAAAACTGTACAAGGAAATGATTATGGAGATTATTATTGTACAGGGAAAAATGAACATGGCGAAAATGAAGCTAAATGTCAACTTTTTAGTATGTATATTGTATCTATCATAAGCTGTCATGTTGTCATTGATCTGCTGTAGGCCATTACTTAGAAATTTTATTTTTTGTGGGTTGTGTGCATCATATATATTTATGATGCATATTCTTAAATATTGAAATAGTGTAGAGGACAGTATTCCATAAGCAGTGGTTGTTTTGGAATGCGGACTCGCGGAATTAACCCATTATTCCTTCAAATGCTGCCCTATCAAAGTCACCATGCGTTTCTTGGACGCTTGATTTTTCTGAAATGCCACGCAAAATGTTTGTTAAGTGCGGCCACCTCCGTGAAATATTGTTCAAACACGTTTTAAGGGTACATTTTGTTTTTATGATGTTAAAAAAGGTCAATCAGAACTACTCTATTGGCAAATGCTCGTACAATACCGGCTAGGCAGAATACAGGAGAAAGAAAACGCCCAAAATCCTATCATAATTCGATTCATCCATTATGCTGATAAACGGTTTTTGTTAACGAATCAAATGTAGCCGGAAAGAATAGCCGCATGGCTGATGATTTGCGTCCGTGCATAAAGGAAGTCCGGAAAGAACTTGCCAAAATCGAATATAAGATTAGGTCAGAAGAAAAAACTCTAAACGCGTATTCGGCATTCAAGAGTCACTGCTCTCCTCGAAACAATCAATAGTGCAAGAGATCAGTGGCAAGTTCGCAAGGAATTCCGTTGTTGCTTACTTGTACGGAACCTTCTGGTACTCTGTCACATTGTGTAATAAGTTTACTGACTCTGCTATTGAATATATTTCATATATCTGCTTTATGCCCCTAGCAAAATACATATAATGCTAAATATATAAATTTGTTCATTTTACTATTTTCAGATCTATTTACTCTTTTCTTATACATTTAAGAATACTACTATGAGTGTAAGTATATGTATGTGCTTACATGTACTTCTATGTGCTTTTTGTGCTAGTTTTTGTTAATAATACTGCAAATGAGCGATGAATACAAGACTAAAATTATCTGCTTTACTCTCACTTATACAATCAAACATACAAAAAAATCAATGTTATATAACTTCTAAATTAACTAATTAAATATGAACGAATCAATGAAAAATAATTTCAGAAAAAAAATTCTTAAATAAGTTCCTTATTTGTAGACAACTTGTATACATGTGTATATTTATTTGTTATGGTGTAATATTATCACACACTGAAATGTTACTGTTTAATTGATAAATGACTTTTGAGAGGATAGTTTTTGGTTTTGGGTTAAATCAAAGATGTATTTATTCCTTATGGCCATTTTATTTGCTTTAGGCTTAGAATGCTTTACTGTTGAGACATGTTTGCATTGCCTATATATATATATATATATATATATTAAAATGATTATTTCTGTGATTGTATCATACGATCTTTTACGATAGATATTTAGCTAATCTGCAATCAATTTCATCATCATGCCTAATATATCATGTACTGTGTTACAACTCTAGATTCTACTGACGAGGAAAGGTAACACTAGGCCACCGAAAGCTGAATTGTTAGTTCATTCTAGGTGGCCGAGTGGTCTAGAGCGAGGGACATAGTGCAGGCGGTGTTGTCTCGATATCCCAATAGCATGAGTTCGAATCCCGGCGAGGGAAGAACAAAAATTTGCTTCCGCAAATTTGCACATTTAACATTGAAATGGCTTAACTCAATCAAAAGACATATTAACACCAGTGAACATACACCGAACAAATAAATTTGATCTATGATACAATGTAAATACAAAATAAATAAACTAAGGGAAGAATACGTACATGTATATATTCATCACATTTGTGCCATATATTATTTTTGCAGTTATCTCCCTTGATTAGTGATTAATCTTTAAAGAGCCAGTACTATTTTGACAAAATTATCAATAAAAATCCAAATTTTTAAACAAGATTTATAACATGCCTCTTGAAAACTTTGATTCTTTTTGTCAAACTTTATAAACACCTTGAAATAAGTCTATATTTTGGTAAAAGTTTAAACTATGTAAAATAATGTCCATTTGCACTTGCAATAGCAGTTTCAATTGACATGGTTAAAGTTGGGGGTTATTTTTTTGGCTGCCATGTTGGAACTTGAAGATTTTTCTTATTTAACTAACCAAATTTAAATATCATAAGTACAAGCAAGTCTGATGAAAGATCTTACTAAATCATAGTGATAAATTAAACCAAACTTCTACGTCATTTGGTCGAGAGTTGTCTCATTGGCAATCATACCACATCTTCTTATTTTTATATTAAACAAATGAAAACAATATTCTCTTAGTCTAGCAGCCAGTAAAACAAGATTTATGAAAGAGTTTTTACACATTACTCTCTAATATGGCAACCAAGGGAAATAACTCTATTTAAATTACAACAATAATGAAAAGTATCTATTATGGTACAGATACCTTAAGGGTATTTGTCTGCTGGAAATTAAAAATAACAAGTTTGATATATGTCTTTTTTAATATGAATGGGACATTAATGAAAATAATGGAAAACTATATATAAGTCTGTGATCTTATTTTTAGAGATAAATGCATTTGATATAAAAATTTGGTGATAAAAGGATCTCTTTGTTTCTCCTGAGAAATTTATGTTGATAAACTTTCTAAAAAAGGTAGAAGAAATAACAAAAATTAAGGGCATACTATTTTGATTCAATACCTCAGAAAAAAGCTAGAGGCATAACAAAATATTAATGAAAAGTTTGTGACCCTTAACTATTTTAAAAAAGCTCCTCGTTATATGTCTTCAAAAATGATTTATGTTCATAATTTATTTCTTTGAAAAAGAAATTTCATTTTTGCAACTTTTTATTGATTAATTTGTAATCATATGTATTTTTATACTTTTCATGTAATATTTTTGTACATTTGTATACTATGTAATATATGTACAGATTTACTGTGATCATTTCATATTTATTATTATGTATTTGTAGTTATTGTGAAGACACAAACCTCTGAAATATTTTTAGAATCTCTAAGGTTTATTTGTTCTATCAGTCTTACATTTATATACTTTTTTTCAATTTAATACATTTGTGTCTTTTTAATGTGTTATTTTTATAAATTTACTGAATGCATAATATCAAGTTTTTCCCATTGAGATTTGGTTATTAGTGGGCCCTTTATCCTGTATCTCTACATGTTTAAATAAAATATTCCTTGACATAATTTATAATATCCTTTATCCAGGAAAATAATATTCAAAAGAAAGACTAAATATCCCATATCCAAAAGTGTGCTCACCCATATCCTGTTACTGGATGATTGTGTTTATTATAAGTTACCCTTATTTAGTATCAGTTGCACTAGTTGATCAGTTATGTATAAAGTGTAGGTTAAATGTCATTGTATTATATATATCATGATTTACTTGTGTTTTTGTTTCAATCTGATCATCCCTGACCACATTTACTCTTGCGTTGCTTTAATCATACAGTTGATGCATAGGAGTCAGCATTTGATTTTGTGTCACTTTTTCGCTTTTCTGCATGGTATGTTTCTGATGCTATTCAAGAGCAAAAAACCCTATTTGAGCAATATTTTCTAGAGGAAATGAGGTTTTGCACATATTTCACCAACTGAAATATTTGTAAATATCATTGATTTTTGGAGTTTCCATCATAAATGAGGACTTTGCCAGATTTCTTTAAAGTTAAAAAATAAAGTGAGAATTGCATACATGTCAAACTCTTAACTTCTGAAAACTTCTTAATTGTTACCAAACAAACTTGAACATAAACTTTAAGAAAAGTGTGGTAAAGTTATTCACATTATCATTTTAAATTTCATTTGTTAAATATTATCAGAGGGAAACTTAGATTTCTTACGTTACTTTTGATTTTTAAGTTTATTCAAGATTTCTACCAGATAATCAGATTCATTCATATTTTATCTAGAAACTAAGAATTATGTATTAATACTTTACAGAGAGAATGTTTGACTTTTTAAACATTTTTGATTAGTTTACATTTAATGTTATAATTTTTCACTAGTATACTCTTGGAGTGAAACTACTACATATGGTTTGAACCTGAATGTAAAAGGATTTTGTTTTTATGCCCCCGCCGTAGCGGAGGGGGCATCAAGTTTTACTCTTGTCCGTCTGTACGTCCGTACGTACGTACGTTCGTACGTCAAAAAATTGGTTTCCGTTCTCTAACTTTAGTTTACCACAACCAAATGTTATGAAATTATACATCATGCTTATTACTACAGAACACAGATCAAGTTTGAATGTTGGTGGCGTTACTTTTGTCGTTCTAGAGTTATGCACCTTTACAAATGGAAAAATTGCTGAATTTTTCGTTTCCGTTCTCTAACTTTAGTTTGCCTCAACCAAATATTATGAACTTATACACAATGCTAATTAATACAAAACACAGATCAAGTTTGAATTTTGGTGGCGTCACATTTACTGTTCTAGAGTTATGCTCCTTTACAAATGTAAAAATTGCTGAATTTTTCGTTTCCGTTCTCTAACTTTAGTTTGTCTCAACCAAATGTTATGAAACTTATGCACAATGCTTATAACACAAAACACAGATCAAATTTGAATTTTGGCGGTGTCACTTTTTCCGTTCTAGAGTTATGCCCCTGTACAAATGAAAAAAATGCCGAATTTTTCGTTGCCGTTCTCTTACTTAAGTTTGCCTCAACGAAACGTTATGAAACTTATACACAATGCTTATGACAACAAAACTCAGATCAAGTACAAATTTGGGTAGCGTCAGTTTTACAATTCTTGAGTTATGTTCCTTTATAACATTATATGCAAGCTGAGGCATCATCTGTGTCACATGGACACATTCCCCATTTATTTTTATAATGAACAATGTTTTGGTCAGGATTTGGGAAATATAAATTTAATGATTTTAATTATAATTTATAAACCTTCAATAAAAGAAGATGTGGTATAATAAATGATTTTGGCATTATCTAACAATCAGTAGACGGCAGAAATTTAGAATCCAACTTAAGATGTAATTCATTAACAAATTGTTTACTGTCAGTTGATGGCGCAATAAATATTAGAACAAGGAAAATACGTTTAATTTTGATATAGCTTTTTCACACTTAATGAATACCTGATAGCCTTGCAACTAAATGAATTCATGAAGCAATGTTAATTCCATATAATAATTCCTATCTTTGCATTATTTAAAACAGTTCCATCTAATTGAAGATATTTTTTGTTTGTTTTTTGACTTGTTCCTATTTTTGTGTTTTTATAATCAATGTGAATTAGTTGAAATAGAATTGTATCGTACAAGCTATGTTTATAACTAAGTATTGTATAGACATAAGTTTTCTACATCTTCATTTTGTTATGATTTATCATTGATGATTGATTTATGAGATTAGAACTACAGTAACTGTTGCCAAAATTTATGACTATGCATTTACACTCAACTGACTCTAAAACCTTAATGTTATTTATTATAAGTTGTCTGCTCATTTACCAGTTGTTCCTTTTAATGTCTTTTAGCTGTTACGGAAACACACCTTTTGGTCAATTCAGGAACCAGAGTTAATCACATTCTCATATAGGATGCTTAGTTAGATATTATCAGATATTTTTTAAAGAATCCTCTTTTCCAAACTTTTTTACTTTAATGCTTTTGTGATTTGATTAATAATAATTGTTGATAACCTTTAACATTATTAAACATGATCAGAAATGGAAGAGAAAAGACAAAAGACAAAATATAGTTGATAACTAAAATAAACTTCAAGCATGAACAGTCTGAAATTAATATACTGAACATTTAAGATATTAGGTTTATATTCTTTTTTATCAAAGCAGGTTCTTTTGAACTTCTACTTTATTCTAGAATACTCATTTTCTGAGATTTAGTTGTATCAGTCAATTCTCAACGAGACTTATTTAAAAATTATGAATGAAATTGTTTCAATTTATATGAAATCAGTTAATATTATGAAATAAAATTTGTATAATTTGAATTGTTTTGTTCTTCTCTTCAAATAAGTTACTTTGATAAAAAAGAAATTGAATGCAAAAGAGATGAAAACGAACTAATAGATATAAGAGAAAGTACAGGTAAAAGGGTCATTATGTTCACCTACGTATGCTCTAAGAAGACAATTTGATGAACAAGGAGCTCTAGTTAAAAAGTCCTGGCCAGATTAAATATCCACTTCGATAGGCAAAATCGACCTATCGACTTATAGCTTGGTTGTAGAGCACCTGCTACCAGGCAAGACTATTGTACAGTATGTATAATCTCTCTTCCCCAAGCCTGCTCCACTCAACACAAAACACTTCTGCATTTCTACCTAAAGAAAACGGGTCCGATGACTTACAGAAAAAAGCGACGATTTACAGAAAAGAACAGAAAAGGACAGAAAAGGACCAAAATGAACGGAAAAGAACAGAAAAGAACCGAAAAGGAAATCGATTTTTTCTTTGTAATCGAAGGAGACTAGCAAATTGCAAAATCATTAAAGTCTATAAATGAAAATATAGTTTCCAAAAAACTTTCTTATTAGGTTTTGAAACCTTATATTGCGACAGGACTAACTTGCATGTGAAAAATTACCCTCTTATAATTACAGGTATCTTATATACTACAAGTAGGAGCTATTCAAATGAATTTTGAAAAAGCTTATACATTAATTTATGTGTTATATTTATTTATGTATTTAATAATATCGACTGCATCTTTCATCCGCTTTCTCTTCCTTTTCCCAATCTGGTAAATTTTTTGCCTTTCCAATCTGTAGATTTAATCAATTTTGTATCTCCGTGTGCATTTCCTCACTTTTTTCATTCTCCTAAGATCTCTTGTTTAATTTCTCTTTCTACTTCATGCGTCTTACTATCTCTCTGACACCCTTTCTCATTCAACTTATAAATATATAGACGAACTATTTACATATATATAAATATAACTACATTAAATTGCGCACAGGTTTTTTATTTGTTAATAATCTCCATGCACAAGATATTGCTATTTAAAAAATATAATATGCATATGAACAAATATTTTAATAATAAGATTAAAATCCTTGATAAAAAATATAAATGATAATTTATCATACTGGTCCAATTTTTATTTTTTAACTTCGAACAGGCCTTGGAGAAGAAATTTTCAAAGAAAGAACTAAAATAACACAGAAGTGTACTTTTTAGCTCATCTAGCCTTACGCGTCATGCCAAGTATTGTCATTACTTAAAACCATTGGATAAAAAAAAACATACGATATCTTCTACAATTTCGACATTTAAACGAAATCTTTTACTAATGATACTGGGAAGATCCTTAACTAATTTACAGTTTTTGTGGTCAAACCCAAGTAGGAAATGACCACCACAAAGGAACATAAATATAACCATACAAATAGTACATGCATGCAGGTTCTTAGATACCATTTCGCATATTAAAATCACATCATGCAGAAATGACCGAATGTGTTTCTCTCCAAATTTTGAGTTTTGCTGCAGTATCCAAAATCAAAGTTGTGGAACATATTTTATCAGAATCATTGGTAATCCATGCAATAAGTGTCTCCTCCATGAGAGTCTTGAACATTAAAACTAAATATTAAATAAACGACACTGCTTATTTTTAGTGTTTGGTACAGGTTGGCTGTCACTGTGCAACACAGTTTAACATAGAACCTTATGGGAAAAACAGAGCACTATTTTTGTCAGAAAACACTGTCAAACATCCAAATATACTATCCACACTGATCTGTGTCCACACTTGTATAGTTTTAAAATAAAACCAAAAACGCAGAAAGGGAGAAAAATCATTATTTAAGGACAAATAATATTAAGGAGTTCATTTCCAATTAAGTTATCTTCACATATTTGTTTGTCGTATACGGCTGATCTATTTCCGCTAACATTTTCTTTCAATCTATAACAATTTCAATAGTAAAAAATCAAGTTTACAGTTTATTTATTTAATGGCAATTTGTAGCATCTGGGACTTACATGAATAATACAGTCTCTTTGTCACAGGTTGTTTATTCCTTCATTTTTTTTGAAATTCAATGACTAAATGCTAGTTTTATTTAAAAACAACAACATTATTTTATTGTAATGCTTATTGTATTTCGATACTATGCAAATAAAAGTTTTTGATGTGTTCATCAAAAGACACATTTTGTTTTTATGGTGTATAACAGGAGTGATTTATATTGTATAGTGTGCAAATGATTACTTGTACATATTTAAATTTTTTTTTTAACTAAAAACCAAGTTATACTGTCTTTTTTTTTTGTGTCCACATATCCCTATAAAATATACAATCTAAGTTAGAGTTATGCGTTCATTTATTACGAGGAATGGTTAACAATATCAAAATTTCGTGTGTATATGGATATGAAATAAATATATGTATGCTCTTTTCGGTTCCTCTTCTGTTCTTTTTGGTCCTTTTTGGTCCTTTTCTGTTCTTTTCTGTCGCTCCTTTCAGAGAAATTTACAGCTATTCTTTTTTCACAGATCCAAAAATAATTTCTAGAAAGCTATCACTTATGTTAAAATCATGTAAAGATTAGCTTGTTGATAATAAATTGTCTCTTCATTTAGAAAAGACTGAAAGCATTTTATTTGAACCAAAGAGAAAACTTCAAAATGTTAATGAAAATGATTTTTCTATTGAATGTGATAATATTAAAGTTGAGAGTAAATCAAATGTGAAATATTTAGGTATCATTTTGGACAAATTCTTTATCATAATTATTTATAATACATGTATTTTGTTGGTAAATTTGTATTATTGTGTTGATGATGACAATGTTAAAATTTAATTTTCATGTGACGAATTTAATTAAAACATTTAGTAATTGTATGTACATATACTTTGAATTTACAGGATGGAGAAAGATGTTCACTAATGGATTAAAACAGAGGACTTTTACATATAAAACATATTGCAACAACACATTATAGTATAGTGGTGTACATTTGTTCATGTTGGAAGCAAAATTATTTTTGTTAGTTGAAAACAATATGACTACAAAATATTAGGGGTAAGTAACCAAAAAGTGTCTGTTTAGGGTTACAAAAGTGGGCTACTTACAATGTACTAATGTTTCAATCCCCCAAAGTATGAAACAAATATAATATACATGTACATTGTATTCAAACTGTTTTAATTAGGGAAACAGACTGTGCAAATAGTCTGCATTTAATGGTCAGACAAGAAAGTTCCTAATGGAATAAGTAGGGGCGGCTGGCACTAAAAATAAATTCTAAAATAGGACAAGTAATCCTTCACAGACTTTAAGGCACAATGGTATACTTTTATTCTATTATCTATGTTCTGTAAATGTCAATATTGTTGACTTCAGATTTATTTCTTCATTACAAAGAATGAAAGGAACAGTAATTAAAATTTCATATATATGATTGAAAAGAATATAAGGGAAGTAATTCTTACATGATGTGCATCATATCCTGATGAAGTGTTAACATGAGGTTCCTGAAAGCTTTTATTTTAAAATTTTTTACTAACCACCTTTACCAAAATTATTGAAAATTTATTCAATTTGACCATTTTTTTCAGATAATAGATCTTATTTGAGTAGACCATATTGGGGTCATAGATGGACATAACAATGAAATACAATATCATAATTATCATTCTTTATAACCTTTAATTGATTTAACAAACTTAATTTAAAAACCAAATATTTTCTTATTTTCAGTAAACAACAGATCCTGTGAGAGGAATAATTTTACTGGAGGATAAAATTTTAATACCTGGAATCAGCAATTTATATGAAATGTGTTAAGAGAGATGTATTCATGTGCAGAATTGTTTCTTAGGTGGTAACCCCACCAGATAACCCAGCTTGTTCTAGTGATTATTACATGTAGCAGAAATGTTTGCTGAACTAATGAAGCATTCAATAAATGAAACTTTTGCAGACTATGGGCTCCTACTTTCCACACAAGTGTTGTGAAAAGAGGAATTTTAGACATAACAGACCCATCAACATTAAAATGGAGATGTGGATAAGTGTAATGTATTTTGTAATAAATTCAGATATTGACTTTATTTATGTTATGAAATTTTCAAAAACAGTAAATTTTGCAACTACATATTCGGTTGTAAAAAGAACAAAATAAAACATAAGCAATAATATAACAGTGATATTGCTTTGCTGAATCTTCCCTGTGGCCTCAAGTGTTTAACTTTTATTTTGCATAAGTGTAATTGTTTTCCTTGAATGTTTGAAAGTTTGGTCGATCCTGCACAATTTTTATGATATACAAGGTCAACACTTCATACAATAACTCTAAATGCTTATCCCATTATCCTGAAATTTTAACACAAAATTAGGATTGACGAAACAAAACTCCCTTTTGCTTTTGACGAATTCAAGTTTTATCATTCAAGAATTATTGGACTTTGTTCATGGAAAATTAGACACCTACTCAAATGTACAAGAACTCAACTTTGCTTTGATACTTTCTCGAGAAATTGTATCTCAAGGCTAGACTTGATCAAATAAGCTCAATATTGTAATTTTAGAGTTATGATACTTATTTCATACAGAATTGAGTATTTATCACATATCATAATGATACTTAAGGATGTTTGCTGCTCTTGTTTTTGACTTTTTTGTCAGATATTCGGAATCCTCTAGTTTTATCCATGTATTGCCAATAAAAAAAAATTCCCGCTAACCCCTATTTTTCTGTTCATTATTTTAATACATTTAGTTTGACAAGCCATTTATGAAAATCTTATAAAATCCTTGTTATTTTTTCATAGTTTTTGAAAGAAAAAAGGTGCCAATGTTAAATGTATGAAAAATCTAGAGAGAATCATTTCCCTCCAAATTTTCAATTGATTATACCTCGAAAACAAGGTCACGGACCTATCATTTTTTTCTGCTTTTTAATTTCTGTTATTTATATACTATCAATTTATAACAATCATTTAAAAATCTTGTTATTTTTAAACAGAGGAGCGAACATCCTTAATCTAGTATGCAGCTATTGCTTGGATTGATTTCCTTCACTTTTGACCTGTTGTTGATATTGAGTGAAACAATTTAATTATTTTAACCCAATCAATTGTGGGGGGAGGGGTCTATGCCACCTGCATACAACACTGCATAACTATATCATAGCACAAGCTATAATACAGTCAATCACACAACATAGCCCCTGCCACCAAAAAGAGAATATAGGTGTACAACAGACAAAAAATATCTCATATGGCTAGCTATCCTATGAAATATTTCATTGATATTTTTATATGTAATTGTTTTTTGGATGTACTTACTTATTAAAGGTATTATAGTTCCCTTTCAGTTGGCCTGGTTTAGACTTGATAACAGTTCTTATATAAAAAAAAAAGAAGATGTGGTATGATTCAATGCCAATGAGACAACTCTACACCAGATACCAAATGACGTAGAGGTTAACAACTACAGGTCACTGACAGCCTTCAACAATGAGCAATGGGTCAGAAGGATTTATAAAATAAATAACCTGGCCTGGTAGGAACTGAAAATAAATAACGTGACACAAGGAAGGCTGATAATATTCTGCATCTCAAAATGCAGGGTAGACATGATATATAAGGATACAGATGTATACAAAAGTGAAAATAAATTTAGAAAAAATGAGCATGTGTAGCAATAGATCAGATACAAATAAATAAGTAAATTCAGAAAAAATCTTACTGCACCCCCCTCCCATCACCTAGAATATCAAATGGTTGTTCCCCAAAGATACTGCACGGTGAATTTTAAAAAGTAAAGTCACAGACAGTTTAAACATACACAGCAAACCAGAAATTAAGAAGCATGAACCCATAAAAATGACATACGCCTTTGCCTAGAATTATATTTTAAAAGAGATGAATAGATAACGTGTACTTCAGAAACAAGGTTGCAGTGGGACCACGCCCCCGTAGTGGGAACTCAAAAAAATAAAGGTAACCCTCTCCATTTCTACTCGATAGAATTGCCTAATGTTTTCATAACATGTACATTATGTCCCAAAGATTACTATATGAAATTATAAAAAAAATCTAGGCGGAGATTTTTCTTTTGAAACAGCTGATAGACTAACTTTAAATTAAATTAAATTTAACAGTTGCGTAGTTGGACAAACTAGTTTAACCCCGCAACATTCTGTATTCTGCCTGTCCCAAGTCAGGAGCCTGTAATTCAGTGGACTGGTTGTCGTGTTTTGCTGTATGTCATATTGTTTTTCGTTCATTATTTTGTACATAAATTAGGCCGTTAGTTTTCTCGTTTGAATTGTTTTACATTTGTCATTTCTGGGCCTTTTATAGCTGACTATGCGGTTTTGGTTTTAATCATTGTTGAAGGTCGTACGGTGACCTATAGTTGTTAATTTCTGTGTCATTTGGTCTCTTGTGAAGAGTTGTCTCATTGGCAATCATACCACATCTTCTTATTTTTATACCTACTGATGGGCAGCGAAAAACAACTTACGAGGTCAACTAAATAGAAACAGACGAACGAATCATCATCAATGGATACAAAGGTAATGGTTCACCCTTGCTTTTGGCTGTATTAAGCAAAGATCTGCAAACATCGTGTAAAAGCTGAGCAATATTTATGATACAACATTATGTATACATGATTCTAAGATTCCTGCCATGTTTGTCAGTGAATAAACTAAAAAAAACTGTCTTGTTTTGTTTTAAAATACAACCTCAGTGTGGTAATGGTTCGAGGAACATTTCACGTTGTAGATACAGTCAGTCGAAAACTTATGCGTGGTTGTGAATTATTGAAAAGTAAATCTCTCTCACCAGTTACTTTAAACAAAAATGCAAGCCTCCTGTCCTTTTTGGTTGCAAAACAGTCAATTACGTTATCAATGTTAATGGGCGTCTCCCTGTATGTGTGAAGGATACATAGACCCGAAAGTCGTTCTGTTGTCATCGTAAGGGTACCAATGTCAGGGTATGAAGGACCATGTACATTATGGAACGAAGTTGAACTGCACGCAAAGTCATTTGACTGCTTGTTTGACTTTCTGGCTTCCGGATTGAAGATCATCTTGTAAAGCCTGTGTGTCTGTACTGTCAGATGAAATGGTATTATCAAAATTATTATGGGTTAAGCAATTGTCAATTCTGCGTTGCGTTGTTACTAAGCAGAACACCCGCAGTCACAATATTCGTCTGCCATAAAAAGAGGGGAAATAAAGCGCAGGGGACTGGAACAAACGCCGGGAGTCTGAGAAGTGATGTCGTTGACTTCAACAACTTTCCACCCCCTCTCTCTCTCTTTCTCCGCCTCTTTTTATATTTTATTTTATTATTATTTTTTTTTAATTTTATCTATTTATTTTTATCAAAACGATGTTGAAGCCTTGGCTTCCGAGCTTCCTTCCGCCTAGCTACGGTACAAAAATAGTGACTTCTTCAATTTCGAAAAAAAACTACAGTTCAACAATTATTGACAAATATTGTTATTTATAAAGGAGTTAAATAACTAGGAATTCACCTTTTGGAGAGATATAAATGAATATTTACTTTTTAAACAGAAACTCTTCTCATTTCTAAATCTACCGCACATGCAAAGAGAAATCTATAAAAAAGAGACACCGACTTTAAAATGGGTACAAATTTTTGGCCTGGCTTGAACAACCCTGTTCTTTACGAAATTCGATGCCAAATACTTCCGAGAACAATATGTAAAAATTTTAGAAAATCGAAGGATAGACATTTTTATGTACCCATTTTGAATATCGCCATTTCATTTTACAGTGCTGAAAGTCAAAATCTTTAATTCTATGTTTAGATATAAAAAACATAAGATTTCCGGTTGTTTTAGAATATAAAAATGACAATAATACGTACTTTCTCATATAAACGTGTTTATAATCAACAATCTTAATCGTCAGTACTTTCTTTGTATTAAACGATTGAAAAAAAAATTAACGAAAGCGCGCCATTTTTCAGTTGAGGTCGGCAGACGCAAAATAGTCCAATTTTGCGTGTAGGATTATTTAGCGCCGCCGAATCACATTTTGGTCAAAAAGGCACATCCGGTTGTCCTACTGTTAGCCAGGAGAGTTTACTATGTAGTTTTACACTATTCTGTAACGTAACTGTACTTATGAAATTAAGTGATTAGAATGATTCATAAATGGGTTATTGACCTGGTTTGGGATAACCGGAAAACAACTCAAATAGGAATAAAACCAAATGTTGTTTACCTGTTACATAAAATAGGATATAAGTTGAGATTGAAGCATTTTCGTCGAGCCTGCGGTATTTATGGATTCCGTCAGCAACACACCTTTTGATCAATTCATGAACCAGAGTTATTCACATTCTCATATAGGATGCTTAGTTCAAGGTGGATAATTGGTATATATTTCCTCAGATAGAATTTTCTTATACTTTGTCAAAATAAAGATTTTACTATGCTTTTTTCAAAAATTTAATAAAAAGTATGGGTCACCGTGCTATCTTTTAAGCTACAAGTCGTGCAAAATTGCCCAAATTTGCATAGATTGTTCATGAAAAAACTCATATTTGTAAATACAAAGAAATTTATGAGATAGAACTTGAAATAAAATTTGAGAAAATAGGTTTTGTAATATGCTTTAAGAAAATAAAAAGAAAAAATGGTGTCACCGAACTTGTTTTCTTGCTACAAATAAAAAATGAAAATTTCACCACCATTCCAGTATAAAGTTTTTACTGTAAAGGTTATCTCCCCTTAAATGGCTTATTTGAAAAATTGATTCTGAAACACACAAATATTTGGTATTTGTTTAAACATTTTGTATAATGCAATAAATCACTTATTTTTCTTTAAACAAATGAACAGTCTTACACATAAATTGCAAATCTGTCTCAAAATGTGCAGATTTAGGCAAAGAACTAGACCGATTGTGTACCGCTATTGTACAATCAAAGATGGCGGTATACAGTGAATCTACCTTAAAAATTATCAGATATTTTTAAAGAATCCTCTTTTCCAAACTTTATACTTTAATGCTTTTGTGATTTGATTAATAATAATTGTTGATCATCTTAAACATTATTAAATATGATCAGAAATGGAAGAGAAAAGACAAAAGATCTCTATGATTATGTGATCCCTAAAAAATATGGTCGATAATTAAAATAAACTTCAAGCATGAACAGTCTGAAATTAGAATACTGAACATTTAAGGTATTAGGTTAACAGACTTCCTGAGAAAAGCAGGTTCTTTTGAACTTCTACTTTATTCTAGAATGCTCATTTTCTGAGATTTAGTTGTATCAGTCAATTCTCAACCAGACTTATTTAAAAATTATGAATGAGATTGTTTCAATTTATATAAAATCAGTTAATATTATGAAATAAAATTTCTATAATTTGAATTATTTTGTTCTTCTCTTCAAATGAGATACTTTAATAAAAAAGAAATTGAATGCAAAAGGAATGAAAAGGAACTTAGTAGATATAATAGAAAGTACAGGTAAAAGGGTCATTATGTTCACCTACGTATGCTCTAAGAAGACTATTTGATGAACAAGGAGGTCTAGTTAAAAAGTCCCAGTCCAGAATAAATATTCACTTCGATAGGTAAAATCGACCTATCAACTTATAGCTTGGTTTGAGTGCACCTGCTACCAGGCAAGACTATTGTACAGTATGTTAGCCGGGAGCGTTTCCAATACATTTACTATGTAGTTTTACACTATTCTGTTACGTAACTGTACTTTAAGTAATTAGAATGATTCATGAGTGGGTTATTGACTTGGTTTTGGGATAACCGGAACGCATAACCAATAGGAATAGAACCAAATGTTGTTTACGTGTTACATGAAACAGGATATAAGTTGAGATCGAAGTTTATAACTGAAGAGTTGACAAAAGATGACAAATGTGCTCTCTATCGTCGTTTTTTCATCAATGTTGTGTATAGGTAAGTATTTTCTCATTTACTTACATTTTTTCAAATTATTAGAATAGTGGGATAATTCAAAACGGGTTCAAATGTTCATAAAATCAGGTGCACATTCACGTATGAAAAAAAAGAACGACAGTATATTTTGTATCACGCAATTAGACCTAAACTTAAATTACAACTCCAATAGATAAGACGGAAAGTAAACACATGTATTCCTGTTAGGCTCATTGCTTTTTATACGACCGCAAAATGTTTGTTGTCGTATAATGGTATGACGTCGTAATTGTCGGCGTCGTCATCGTTGTCCGTAGACATTTTTTTTTCCAGACAATAACTTGAGTATAAGTGTATTGATCTCTTTGAAATTGTACCTCAAGGTTCCATATCACAAAACAAACGTTGGGATTGATTTTGGGGGTTATTGATCTAACTGTTTAGGAATGAGGGGCCCAAAAGAGGCAAAAAACAAGCATTTTTGTCGAGCCTGCGACATATATGTCGCGAAAGCGAGACACATCGATCCTGGATTCCGTCGTCGGCGTCGGCGGCTTCAACATTTGGGTTCAGTCTGTGATTAAAGTTTTTCAGTCATCAATAAATTTGTCAAACCTTTATGGAATTTTATGAAATTTGGACAGAAACATGCTTAGGACGGAAATATAGTATCCACAGCATATTGAAAATATATATATCATTTTCCGCATTTCACTGACAAATGGACTTAGTTTTTATTACAGTTAACAAGTAGATACAGTCTGGGGTTCAAGTTTGTTACGCATCAATTACTTTCGAACATGTAGAATTTTCTGAAACTTTGGCAGAATCTTTTTTATGATTTCGAGACAATGTCTGAAGCAAAATTTTGAAAACATATTGCTTTTTCATTTTAAGTATTTGTCTGATAGATAGACTTAGTTTTTTTACAGTTAACATTTACAGTCAGTCTGGGATTACTTTTTTTAACATGATAACATTGTAAACCGTCTTGGATTGTTATAAAACTTAGACAGAACAGAACCTAAACCTTCTAGACAAAGAAATAGCATCTAAAGAAAAAGTTTGCATTTTTTTTTAATTCTGTATTTTGCCTATAAATGGACTCACTTTTTAAGTCAACATTACACTTTTACACTGATAGCAGTAATCGCAGGCGAGACACAGAGTTCCGCGGAACCCCTTACGAATTTCTTTTCTTGTTTGAGGACAATAGATTGTGTATAAGTGTATGGATGTCTATGAAATTGTACCACAAGGTTCCATACCTCAAAAGGAAGGTTGGATTGCTTTTGGGGGTTATGGCTCAAACCGTTTAGGAATTAGGAGCCAACAAGTGGCAAACAAAATTAGGATTATCTGGTTTCCAGACAATAACTTGAGTATAAGTCTATGGATCTCTATGAAATTGTACCACAAGATTCCATACCAAACATTTCTTGGGGTTCTTTGATATGCAGAATCAAACCGTGTATTTAGATTTTGTATATTGGACCATAATAGGTAAATGTCCAATTTCAAATTTTTAAGTTCTGTAACCACATTCATTCTGTGTAAGAAAACCTATTATAAGTCCAAAATTTAATCACAATCCAAATTCAGAGCTGTATTGCACAATTAATAGAAATTGTAAGTAGATTCAAAGAATATTTAGTTTCAATTCTCTCATTGTTTATTTTGTCTTTCGACTGTTTTTATTTCAGCGCCATTGATGAGTATTAGGTACTAAGTAATAAACGAACATATATTTGTGTTATTACCAGCCAGCATGTGTTTTTGTTATTACCAGCGAGCATGTGTTTTTGTTATTACCAGCGAACATGTGTTTGTGTTATTACCTCTCAGTTTTAGACAAAATTAAGGTCTCGTGTAACAATATGATCTGACAATGATGATCATTTCTTAACCTCCAGTTTTCCCATGTATAAGAAATGAAAGTATCAGTATAAGCCTGCGAAGTAATAAAAGCATAGTTAATATGATTTTTGCATGATCATTTGCAGATGTAAGAAAAAAATATACCTTTGAAGGAATGGTTTATGATTCTTAACCGTTTGGTTATTATAGAAATGCCATAAAGTATGCCAAGAATGAATTTAATTAGATTTCTATAGTCCATTCAGAGATAACCTAAGCTAGATTTGGCAAAAATTGTGTTGGAATGATTGGTTTTCAATGCTTTTGAACTTTGATATTGATTTGTTTGTCCTACTTTTTTGATTTGAGCGCCCTGATGAGTCTTTTGTTGACAAAACGCGCGTATGGCGTACTTAATTATAAACCTGATATCTTTGACAACTTTTCCCCGTTTTTGAAAGGAATTCAAAAGATTAAAAACAAAGAAGAATAAGGATGATGCATCCGTTTGATATGGTTAATGACATATCTGAATATTGTTTTAAATCATAATTGACATTAAACATGTTTCCCTGTTCTATGATCTTATCAAGTAAATAGAGGAGAAATGGATAATTGTCTAGTCTTTGAAAGTTGTGTGGGTTCTCGAAAAAGGCATAATTTCTTCCACGTACAGAATGCTACTTCCAATATTGGCTCTAGCTTCCAAATAAAAAAGACTTGTTATCAGGAAAAGAAAACTAGAACAAGCTGCTATTGGTAATAGTTTTAACAATGTTATTTTAACCAAACTAGTTTTTCATTATCAGACATAACTGGTGTAAATTTTAGGATTCTGCGTGCATTTATGATGTAAATAAGGAATACAGAAGCGTATGATTTTACCGTTAATGTAATTCCTACCACACGATACCTGTGCTGGTGGACTGTTATCAGAGATATTTAGTAACATAGTTAATACCTTTAGTAATAACTGTATCGTTAGTAGTGTAGTGACAATTCAAGAAAAAGTCGCTTATTTTAAGAGTTTAATGGACCGACATATCTCACGGCTGAAAATCCACATGATGATAGAGTAAACATTATACTATCATTTTAGCCCTGTCGTAGAGTTTTCCCACGGTGCAGTTTTTTGTAAAATCGCGATAAAGCGTGATTTTCCGATTTTTTTCTTTTTTATTCTCAAACACGGGAACGCTGATAATTAATTCCTGAATGAAGATATCAGCAAATATCTGCTATTAAATGAAAGAGTAATGTATCAGCTTTCATTTAATATCAAAATTAAATATCATATGAAAATACATATGGAATGAATTTGAAGAATTTCAATTGCATGTGACATTTTTGTCAATCTTACCGTCTGTCAAAGTATATTAAATTTCTTACATAAATCACCCGTAGTCCATTTTGACAAAAAAAAAAAAATGGAACAACCAATATTTAAGAAGTTTTAATATATCAAAGATTGATAGAACATACAAAACAACTTTTACAAGCCTTTTTGTAATACTCATCCTTTTAATATTCACCTCAATAAGTCATGTTGCGCTCCCTTTTCCAACTTTCCCTTGACTTATGAATTGCTGTGTTTTTCACCATGAATTAAATGTGCATTTTCTAAATTTTTGTAGATAAGAATATAGATTTATATCAATGTTTGTGTCTAGATGTTAGTACAGATGTTAAGGTTTAATAACTTTTGGGGTATTTTTATTCTTGTTAGAGTTTTTCGAATATACTTATTTTAAACCACATCCGCATTAATCCGGAAAACGATGGGCAGTGCTGATTCCATTAAAAAAGAACAAGTAAAGTAGCATAGGTCGTGTTATAAAGCCTATACGTATACAAGAAGAATAAATTTTGATACATTTAAATTAGGAAAAAAAACAATGCTCAACAGCGTGTGATGATACATTAACTTTCGTTAAAACACGATCCATGGCATTGCCATTAAACTGGTTCAAATGTTTATTCTGCAGACAAAAGTCATACAACGAGATAAGCAATTAAGGCATGTCCAGTCATTTGAACGTGTCGATTATGCATGTTATGTCTTAAATGACGCAAATTACTTTGAAATGGCTTTTGATTTTGCCATTTGATTAGGGACTTTCCTTTTTGAATTTTCCTCGGAGTTTTGTATTTTTGTGATTTTACTTTTTACCAGTCAGACTATCCAGCGATAAGCTAATCTTCATAGATTACTTCATAGACAAGGCGCTGCATCATTCAGCATGCGACTGAAATGAAAAAAATAACTTGCTTCTGATGCTTCAAATCAGTCGGAGCATGATGTTGCTTTCCAAAATCTAACCGAAAGTCTACATGATGATCTGTTTGTCAAAACAAAGCATTTTCGTAGTCATAGAATTTGCTAGATTACAAAACTTTGAATTTTCGAAATACTAAGGCTTTTCTACCTCAGGAATAGATTACCTAAGCTGTATTTGGCAAAACGTTTAGGAATTTTTGGTCTTCAATGCTCTTCAACTTCGTACTTAATTTGGCCTTTTTAACTTTAGATACATATTGTTCCTTTCTTCCAGACCCTTGATAATGTGGAAAAAAATTATGAAAAGTAGATTACGATCGTTAGAAATTTCAGATTATTACTATCTATTTCCGTCAAAATTTAGTATTCCTACAGCTTTACAATTTATTGCTATACCTTTGATAAATATTTTTGCCTGGTTAGTAGATGATAATTATTTTTATATGGATAATGATTACAATGCGCTCTCATGTGATATGTACGGAAATGTATACCTTTAGCTGATTGTGTGACATCCCTGCATTTAAAATCAGTACACTCCTGATCAGAGTTGGTATGGGTATTGTACAAAGTCCTTATGTAAAAAGGTGCAACAGTTTTGGAGATTTTGCCACGGACGCCTTTAAAACCCTAATAGCTTGTTTTGAAAACTTTGGGTGTGTCGTGGACGAGATTGATCGATATAATGTGGAACATTCTACAAAATCAGCAGAAAGAATAAGGAGGTCTATTTTAAATGGTGGTAGATCTAAGGTTCTTCGAGTCATTGAAAGCAGATCAATTAGAGATTGTAAGAAATTTCATTGTGCACCCGAGAATAAACCGGGGTTGATAATATTTATAGGTGACTATGCACTCCCGCAATACAATCATTTTGATTTGCAAG